AAGGAATATCTGTAAAACTGGCTGACTTATAGCCATTTTTGTATTTGCTAGGGTTGATTTTATCGTGGTTGTCATTATGAATCACTTGACACTTGAAGGTTAATCAGTGATAGATGTAAATCCAATAATTTCTTTCTGAGTTTCCTTAAAATCTGTCCAATGGTTTATGAGACATTTTGCTAACAAAAAAAGAAAGAGAGTGGACTCCACTACTTTCCAATTTTCAATTTAACCTTTTTTTGTATAAATAGTGTCCTCCTATGTTACTTTTCTCATTTTTAGCCTACTCTGTTGCAGCCTCTCTGCCAAGTTCTCCCGAGTGAGAACATGCAAACTCAGATCAATTCCTTTTCTGCATAATCAGATGTATTGATTTGTTCTCCCATGTGCTCGGAGTTTTACAGGAAGACAACACCCGTTGGCTTTTCAGTAAATCACAGTGTGCACCACAGAGAGCACAGTAAATGCACACCTACATGTCTGCACAGGCTGGTAAACTAACAATTGATTTATATATTTAAAAAATGACAGCGACATTGTGTGGAAATATCAAATCGAGCACATCATTTCAGTCTTTTGTGGGGATAATATCTCGTGTCTTTTTTTTCCCTCCCTGTGTTTTATATGTTGGGATTTTCCCGCACCAGCTTTTTTATTTCCCAGCTGTGGTGTGGTGCTCAGGAGATAAGAATATTACCTGGGACTAGGGCTGCCATTGTTCAACTGACCTAGCACCTTGTTACTCTCCCTGTACATATTTTTCGAGATAATGCAAGGTTAGCCTGTTGGAAAATTTGAGGTTATTAAAAGGGGTTACTATGGAGAGGGAGAGGGGTTATTGCAGAGAGCGTGAGAGCGTTTCCCACAGCTTTCAGTTGCCACGGATCGGCTTCCGATGTTTGCACAGAGTCAGACCTTGTATTAGAGAGAGAAAAAAGAAAAAGGATTGTTGGGGTGTGGGGGGTTTAAAATTAAAATTAAATGCCTACATTGAAGGCAAGCACACCACCTGGTGCCTTTCAGGCCATAATCAAACTAAGATAGTTTTACATTGAGAAAAGACTGAGTTGTAGCCATTCTAGTCAAACCTGGATGTATGATGTCACACAATATCATGTGTGAGTGACTCTTAGCTATTACCATAACAACTTGTAGCTCAATGTCTGTAAAACTGATTGAATATAAGTATTAGGTATTTTTGTTTAGACTAATTTTGATTAACTGTRTTCATGAGATATTTTGCTAACAAACAGCATTGGCTCCAACAGTTAGAACAAAAGATTAAAGCAAAGGTTGATTTCTTTTCAACTTTCATCATCTGCAATACAAAGGTTTTCCTCTTATTTGACTGATAGGTGTCAGGTTGTGAAACATGGAAGCTCTGTGTCCAGGTCTCTGCCCTGTTCCATGGGAGTTCCGCAGGGTAGCAT